TCAATGATCTACCGAATGCATCACAGCTACTTAAACCCATATTATTTGCAGATGACACTACATATGTATTTTCCCACCCAAACGCAGTCATACTAGCAAACACAGTCAGTGCTGAATTACAGAAAATATCTGCCTGGATGACGACTAACAAACTTACCCTGAACACTGATAAAACCTATTTCATTCAGTTTGGAAACAAAGCTGCAAATGATCCAATTAACATTACGCTAAATGGATCATCAGTCACAAGACTCACAGAGGGAAAATTCCTAGGTATCCACCTTCATAGTAGCCTTAAGTTCCGGACACACACACAACAAATCACAAGAAAATCTCCAAGACTGTAGGCATATTATCAAAGATAAGGTACTACATTCCGCAATCAGCTCTCCTGGCACTATACCATTCACTCATATACCCTTATCTTACATATGGAATTTGTGCATGGGGATCAACAACATCCAATCACCTAAAACCCCTAATAACCCAGCAAAAGGCAGCAGTAAGAATGATGATAAATTTCCACTCCCGCCAGCATACTCCACCAGTTTTCAAAAGTCTGAATCTGCTTACCATTAAGAACATCCATACTTATTCATGTGCCTACTACATACACAGAACAATACACGCAAATATAAACCCCCCCCACTCAAACTTTTCCTCACCAACCTAAACAGGACACATGACCACAACACAAATCACAGATCTCTTTTTGATATACTTCGTGTCCATATCACACTGTGTAAAAACTCTGTGCACATAAAGGACCCCAAAATATGGAATTCATTACCAGAAGATATTAAAGTAACCCAGTCTGAAAATCAATTTAAGACTCTTCTCAAAAGCCACTTAATCACCCTAGACTAAATGCTAAATACTCAGTACACATTTACTCACCTATGTACTCCCACATCATAACTGAAAATATCACATTGAACCTTTTATCCATTGTTGACAAGAATATAATTGAATCATTGTTTTTCACAAAAGCATTTTAGAATATAAATACACCTACCATCCGACTTACGACCGTGATTTTTATGCCAAATTTCTGGGAAATAAACAACTATGTGTGTTGTACACAGTGTTTATCCTAAACCTTACAGTATAAAATACAGTACTAACAACATAAAAAGTAAAGTAAAACATGAAATACCAAAATAAAACAATAAAATAAAGTCATTACAAAAATGTTTTGTTGATATTCAGTAGTAAAGTTCAACTTACGACCATTTCGACTTACGACCGATTTCTCGGAACCGAACTCGGTCGTAAGTCGGATGGTAGGTGTATATCTTTGTATTATACAAATTTTGATTCATTTATAATTAATATTCTACTGTACAACTATGAAATAATTACTTTCCTACTGTACAACTATGATATACTCCTTAGTATTAAGTAGAATGTAAGCCAGTAATGTTAAGTTGGCCCATTATGCCTAGGCATAATAGAGGCTCTCTTTGCATTGCAACCCACAATTGTATATACACAATCTCAATGTACAGTTTGCAAAGACATTAAATAAATAAATAAAAGGGTAGAAACATTAGGCATGTTTCTTTACAACTGTTGTCTATGTTCACCCATCAGTAAATGGGTACCTGGGTGTTAGCTGTCTAGTGTGGGTGTTATCCTGGGGCACTTTACCTAATTTTCTTGAAATACTCAGCATAACAAGCGGCTTTTTATATAGTAGTATGTCACTGATGTCAGTTAGGCCTGTGTACCTTGTACATGTACGTGTAGCAAATTGCCGGGTCACCATCTGGAGAAAACCCGGGCCGGAAGTACCGGCGAATCAACATGAATGAATGAAGTGTAGTAAATAAAGATATTATTATTATTATTATTGTTATTATTATTATTATTATTATTATTTTCTCAGTTGTTTGTTGGGTTATCTTATTCAAGCTTGAGCAATGTATGATGGAAGGATACTTCTTACCGTAGGCCAAAAATGAAAGAAATCAAACCATAAACAGTGGAGTTCACTTCTCAGCCATTAGCAGCAGCTTAGCGGTATATTTTTGTATGTTTTTATGGTTATATTCTCATTTTTTCGGTCTCATTTGATAGAATGAAAGATATATTACAAAAACAGATATGATTTCGATTGCTTTCATGATGAAAAGTACCTTGAAATTGCGCTCACAGTAGCGAAAATGTTCTGTTCTTTAGCGAAGCTCAAGAGTAAACAAATGACATCACCGTCCAATACCCGTCCACCTGCCAGTCCAAATTCCAATACGAAGTTAATGGGTTGACATTATTTATGCAATTATTACAATAATGCAGCAGTCTGCCTAACAGTAAATCTTCTAGTTTTTTTTGTGAATAAAAATTCCAATGGTAAGCAAGAGTAATATAAGAGGGGCCTGTAGCTATGACTAATGAACAGAGAAAATGTTATTTTAGTGCCAGGAATGTCTGCATTGTTTATTCTGGATCCTATTTTGAAATTGAATCTGTTGAAATTTGTGTGAAATTGGCCAAATTGCCAATTTCTGACCACTTTATTGGGTAGTTGAAATAAGTGAATGGGCGGTTTCTTGTACTCAGTTGACAGACTAGAAATAAATAAGTTTATTCAGGTATACACAAATACAGTTACATAAATTATCATACATAGCAGTGTATGTATAAAGAACCTAGGATAACCCAGAAAAGTCAGACGAAGTGACTTATTTCCAGTACCTGGCTTGGGCTTGCCATGTATGATTTTTGGTAAATATTTGTTTTTTCTCGGTTGTTTGTTGGGCTATCTCATTGAAACTTGGGTAGTGTATGATGGAAAGATGATTCTTAACGTACAACAAAAATAAAAAAGATGGACGATAAATAAGGGGGTTAACTTCTCAGCCATTAGCCGCCTCTTTGCAGCATATTTTCGTATTGTTTTTATGGTTGTATTCTCATTTTTTTGGACTCATTTGATAGAATTGAAGATATATTACAGAAATAGACATGATTTTGATTGCTTTCATGACGAAAAGTACCTTGAAATTGAGCTCAAAGTAGCGGAAATGTTCGATATTTGCCGATGTTCAATGAATTTTGTGTAAGTCAAGTTGGTTGATTTTATTAAGTGTATTCTAACTTAACCACTCTGTAATCCGGCAAACTCAGTAATCCGGCACACTGCAGGTCCCAATGATGCCGGATTTGTGATGGAGGACCTGTAGTCTGTAAACCATTAAATTTAGTCTGCCCATAATGCCATGGCATGATATTGGCTCTCCTTGCACTGCAACTCATTTTTGTAATTACAGAATCTCAATGTAAACTTGCAAGGAAATAAAAATTGTATTGTATTGTTTTCTGTAGTTCAGCACCAAAGAAAATCTGTACACAATAATATTCCTGGGGGTAACTGGGGGCAAAGAGAGAGAAAGCTTGCTTTGTGTTGGAAGCTAAACAATATTGTATTTATTATTATTATTATTATTATTATTATTATTATTATTATTATTATTATCATAGAGAGAAAGCTTGCATTGTGTTGGAAGCTAAACAGTATTGTATTTATTACTATTATTATTACTATTATTATTATTATCATTATTATTATCATAATATAAACGTATGTTTGTTTACATCCTCCACCTCTCTGTCCTCTCTCTCATTTACGTGTTCTCTCTCTCTTTTATTAATTTTATCTTGTTTACTCACCTCTCACCCTACATTAAGACTACATGTATAAATATTTTAAGGTAAGTAATGAGTGAACTGTGTACTGAGAATAAGATTATATTGTTTTCCATTGGTTTGTGACAATGAGAGTATGGATATATAGGTTTTTCTTATTTAGCTGATGTTGGTGCAGTGTTTCTCTGCATATTTACTGTACAAACAACTGTAGATAACCATGTATTATCATTAAATTTAGTGTTAGACATCAAAAAAAAATTTTAAATATGCATAATTACCAAAGAAAATAAAAACAAAAACTATAGCTTGCCAACATAAATTGGCTGGTTTTGAGCCAATTCTTTTTGCTTTTCTTATTATTATCTGAGAAAAATAAACACTTTCATAACTTACGAAATCGTAATGACACGATTGCAAACAAACCATACCCCGGCCGGGATTGAACCCACGGTCAGAGAGTCTCAAAACTCCATCCCGTCGTGTTAGCCACTTTCATATGGCAAGTTTTTTTTTTTTTTTCACATTCTTCCATCCTATTAGGCACTTCATTTTTTCTGGATCTAGTTTAAGAGTTAAAATTAAGAGTTTTTATGGGGATAGTAAGGTTTATGGTATTTAGGAGAGAGGGCTATTATTTTCCATTAAAAGAAGACCTTAGACAGGGATGTTGATGTCACCATGACTATTTAAATATTTATAGATTTGTGTTATAAAAGAATTGAAGGTTCAAGTGTTGGGAAAAGGTATGAGCTTATGAATTTGATACGAAGTGGGAGTTGTCACAGTTGCTTTTTGCCAGTGCCAGGGTACTTTTGGGAGATTCTAAAGAGAAGTTAGTAGACAAATTCTGGAGGCAGTGGTGATTAGAATGATTAGGATTACTAAAAGTATTATTCAGGGGACTGAGGAGAGGGTGTTGAGGTGGCTTGGACTTTACAAGGGATGAAGCAAAATAGGATGACTAGGAGGGTGTATAATTATATCTGTAGTGGAGGGAAGGGTAGGGGTTGTCCTAGGATTTTGAGTGAAAAGGGCTTGGACATCCAACAGGCATGTGTGAATGTGTTAGATAGGAGTGGAGGCAAGTGTTTTTTAATTTTTGGCATGTTGTTGAAGTATAATCAAAGTAACATTTATGAAGGGATTCAGGGAAACTAGTTAGCTGGACTTGTATCCTAAAGGTGGAAAGGACAGTGCCTTTGTTCTGAATGAGGAATGAGAACATTACAGTTCAGAGGGTTATCTGAACTGTAATGTTGGCATGTCTCTGGCAGTATAGTAATAGTGAATGATAGTGAAGGTCTTTCTTTATTTTTTGGGTTACCTTACTTTGGTGAGAGATAGGCAGCATGTTAAAAAATAAATTCAAATCTTCGAGCAGTATTATGTATGAACAAGTTGATACAGTATTTTTCGCTATAAAAAGTTCCTTAGAACTTCATCCTGTACTTGAGTATGTACAGTACAAGTTAAATATAAAAAAAAAAAATACTGCCAGTACTTTAAACATGTAAAACTTTCTTTTATCTTTGGCTTGAGGATTCACATCAACTCTAGGAACCTCAACACTGTGAATGCCGGGGTTCAGCAGTGTTTGTCTAAATAATTCTGTAAATTTTCATTGAAGACCATATTCATTTATTTAGTTTCTCATTTTTTCAGAGCTATGAAGGAGCTATGGGTCAAGGAATCTACTTAGAAGCTCATGGAGGCAGCTGTTACTGTGCTATTGCAACTCTACATTTGATGGGGAAGCTTGACTCTGCATTATCCAATATTCAGGTTTTTATGGCATTCTTTGTGCATTATTTTATTCAGCTAGATAAGGTCATTGTAAACCCTTGTACAGTGTGATATTTAAAGTCCTGAAAATCATTCCAAAATAATAATTTTTGTAAAAGTCAAAGAATATATGCAAAACTCTGCCTTAACCATAGCAAAAGATATACTTCTGGGTTAGAGGCCCTGGGGAAACCCACTTCAGTATATCGTTCCTCAGTCACACCAGTTCTCACATGTCTAGTCTATTCTGACACGGTCTGTATGTATGTTCAGGCTTGGTAATGATCTTCACCTCTGATCACTAGGTTTTTGTTTGTTTGTTTGTTTCTTATAACTGATGTCACCTGAGACTCCCAGAATGCTTCAAAATCTAGTTGTCAGCTGAAACAAAAAAATCTGGGAAATGTTGCAGAAACTCTTGACCTTCAAGGGCCTCTAATATGCAAATGCATCTTTCATTAACCCTTTGACTGTCGCAAAACAAATCCTGAGGTTTCTCCTGGTGTCAAAAATTTTTGAAAAAAAAAAAAAATTATTTTTTCTTATGAAATGATAGAGAATCTTTTCCCGATTGTAATGACACCAAAAGAAAGAAATTTGATGGCAAACTTACAGAATTAAGCTCTCGCAAAGTTATCAACCTCGGCGATATTCACAAATCGGCGACTTCGCCCACTTTGAGCCCTATTTTTGGCTAATTCCATTGTTCCAATCGACCAAACTCATAGCTATTTCTTTAGAACTCCATTTGTTCTATCAATTGAGTACAAGAAACTGCCCATTTACCAATTTCAACTACCCAATAACATGTCAGAAATTTTCAATTTGGCCAATTTCATGCAAATTAAAAAAGATGCTTTTTCAAAATAGGGTCCAGAATGAACATTGCAGACATTCCTGGCTCTAAAATAACATTTTCTTTGTTCATCAGTCACATCTCCAGGCCCCTCTGATATTACTCTTGCTTTCTATTTTGAATTTTTATTCAAACAAAAAAATAGAATATTTACTGTTATGCAGACTACTGCAATATTGTAATAATTGTATAAATAATGTCAACCCATTCATGATTGCATATTAGAATGGCTAGTTGGATATTTATTGGACAATGGCATCATTAGTTTACTCTTGAACATTGGCAAAAATCAAACATTTCCCCTACTTTGAGCTCCATTTCAAGGTCCTTTTCTTAGTAAAACCAATGAAAAGCACCTCTATTTCTATAATATGTTTTCCATTCTATCAAGTGAGACCAAGACAACGAGAATACAACCATAAATACTATATGAAAATACACCACAAAGTCAGCGTCTTAATCCAAAAACACGGTTGGAGTTTTATTTTTCTCATTATGCACTGTGTGCTTCAGGATTTTTTTTTATATGGTGCACACTGACCACACAGACCCATTCTCTCACATGTGGGCCTATCAGCTTTCTCCTGCTTGATTTGAAGCTGCTAAAATTTTTGAGTGTACAGTGGAACCTCTACTTGTGAGTTTAATCCATTCCATGACCTTGCTCACACTGTCAATTTTCCTCATTTAAATTAATTGAAATGCAATTAATCCATTCCAGTGGAATTCTGTACTTCAATAATTTCGCTAATATCAACTCTACGGCTTATTTATGTATCTCATTTCATCTAATATGACATAATAAACAATATAAATAACATAGAAACCTGATATATACTCTAAAATGAATAAAATATATCATTCATGTATTGGTTTGGGCAGTGTCGGCGGCGGACAAGAGTTTGTCTGGGGACCGGGCAAAATTCTTCTTGAATAATTTCACTAATATCATCTGTACTGCTTACTTATCTATCACAGTTCATCTAATATGACATAACAGACAAAACTATTCGAAATTACCACTAAGGGGTGGCTAATTGCTGAGAAGTGAACTCCATTATTTTTGCTTAGATTTCTTTCATTTTTGGTGTACGTTAACCCTTTGAGGGTCGACAGGCCCTCTCCGAGACTCATTCTCAGAGTTGGCCAAATTTAAAAAAAAAAATTATTTTCTCTTATGAAAAGATAGAGAATCTTTTCCCAATCATAATGACACCAAAAGTTTGAAATATGATGGAAAACTTATGGAATTATGCTCTCGCGAAGTTAGCGGGCTCGGCGATGTTTACGCATCGGCGATTTTGCCCAATTTGAGCCCCATTTTCGGCCAGTTCCACTGAACTAGTCAACAAAAAACGAATATTTCGCTAGAACTCCATTTTTTCTATCAAATGAGTACAAGATACCATCCATTTATCAATTTCAACTATCCAGTACAGTGGTCAGAATTTAGCAATTTTGCCAATTTCACACAAATTTCAAAAGATGCCAATTTCCGAATAGGGTCCAGAATAAACAAGAAAGACATTCCTGGCACTAAAATGACATTTCCTCTGTTCATTAGTCACGTCTCAAGGCCCCTCTTATATTCTTTTGCTTTCCACTTTGAATTTTTATTCTCACAAAAAATAGAAGATTTACTTTTATGCAGACTACTGCATTAGTGTAAAAAATGGTATAAATAATATTGGTGCACTTGCGAAAGAATATTAGACTCACCAGTTGACGTGTATTGGACGCTTGGCATGATTTGTTTACTTTTGAACTTTGGTAAAAATCGAACATTTCTGCTACTTTGAGCTCAATTTCAAGGTACTTTTCATTGTAAAACCAGTCAAAATCATCTCAATTTCTGTAATATGTCTTCCATTCTATAAAATGAGACCAAGAAAACTAGAATACAACAATAAATACCATGCGAAAATACAGTGCAAAGTCACTGTTTTATTCCAAAAAAGCGGTCTAAGTTTTTTTTTTCTCATTATGCACTGTGTGCTGCAGGATTTTTTTTTTATACTGTGCACACTGACCACATAGACCCATTCTTTCATATGTAGGCCTACCAGCTTTCTCCCACTAGATTTGAGGGCGCTAGAATTTAGGCGTACTAGTATGTCAAAAACCCTGGGTCGTAAGCCGTACTAGTACGGCCAAAAACCTCAAAGGGTTAAGAAGCATCTTTCCATCATACATTGCCCAAGTTTCAATAAGATAGTCCAACAAACAAATGAGATACAATTCCCGAGATCAAGAGCAAGAGCCCCTCACCAGTGTCAAGGAACCTGCCTTGAGGTCTGCTCGCTTGTGGAAATTTTGCTCGCGTATGGAAGCAAAAAATCGATCCATCGACTGCTCGTATTTGGAAAAACTCGCACGTGGACACGCTCGCAAGTAGAGGTTCCACTGTATATACGTCAAACACATTGGCTCGTAAGACGTATGTATATGACCGAAACAGTCAAAGGGTTAAGATCAATGTGCAATTTGACCTTAATGACCTATTGTGGCCCCCCTGGGGGCCAACCTGGAATCATGCCACCTAAATTTGAGATGGAGGAGACAGCTGTTACTCTGAGGTGAAATCAAAATGGATATTTCCTAGTAACAGTAATTCTGGAGGTACAGGATAGTAATTTCATCAGACATTTGGTGAACTTGTCAAAAAGGTATATATATGAGGATCTTGGTGCTCGGCCCTCTGCTAAGCCTGCCAGAATGCGATACGCTAGCTTTGTCAAAAGTACACACTACAGTGGACCCTCGCTTGTCGGTCGTAATCCGTTCCAGAAGCTCGACCTAAAACCGAAATGGCTGAAAACTGAAATATTAGTTCCCATAAGAATTAATGTAAATACAATTAATCCGTTCCAGACAAAAATATTTACTAAAAAAAAAAATTAACAATTAAATCAGTATATTACATACCTTTATTGAAGACCAAATGTGGCTTCTGGAAGATAGGGAGGAGGAAAGAGGGAGGAGTTATTGTTTGGAAGCAAAATCCTCCTCCATAAAGACTTAAGGTAGCAAAGCCCTCTCTGGGGTTACTTCCCTTCTTTGTCTTTTAATGCCACTAGGACCAGCTTGAGAGTCACTCCACCAACTACACTCCCTGCATGTCTGCTACACTCCCTGCATGCCTGCTACACTCCCTGCATGTCTGCCACACTTCCTGCATGCCTGCCACACTCCCTGCATGCCTGCTTACACTCCCTGCATGCCTGCTACACTCCCTGCATGCCTGCTACACTCCTTGCCTCTATGCCTGCCTGCCTGCCTTAAATTCTATCATGTTTCTCACTTTCTTTACCAAAGGAACTTTGCTAAGAACTTTCTTTGGGTCCATGGTGACTTGTTTTGCAATTGCACTTGATAAATAACCACCAAAAACAACGGATTATAGTGAAATGTTTGGATAAAAGACCAGAAGCTTCCTCACTCGCCCAGAGACACAGCCAGACTGATGTGAGTGGCTGCTGGCAGACGGGTGAACGCATCCCATATGGCTGATAAGCGAAATAATGGCCGATAACCGGAAGCTGAAAAACCGGCCTATAACTGAGTTGGCCGATAACCGAGGGTCCACTGTAAATGCACGTTGGCGAAAATTGTAGTGTGGTGAATAACTTCACAGGCCTTCCCTCAGTTGAGAGCCAGGAAATTGTTCAGTTAGCAAGAGATTGCCAGGTGAGAGCTTTGAAGATATGCTAGAAGTGAATGAGCTCTTAGAAGATGATGAGGAAGAAAGAAATCCAAAGGAAATGTTGAAGGAACTCAAATCCCAGATACAAGGTAGGTAGATAACAGATGAAGATACGGAGAAAGAACACAAAGAAGAACAGTTAACACTGTAACAGTTATATGAGCAATTCCATATTATTGTGAAGTTGCAAACTTTTGCAGAGTAAAACAGACCAAAGATACATTATACAATACCTCAGTACTCCAGTGCAACCATTGCTTAGTGACAACACTGCATCAACATCAGTGCAGGAACCTCAGCCAATGATTCACAGCCTTCCACCTCAGCCAGTGATCCACAGCCTTCCACTTCAGCCAGTGATCCACAGTCTTCCACCTCAGCCAATGATCCACAGCCTTCCACCTCAGCCCAATAAGGTCACACCATCCCTCTCCACTCTTC